TAAATTCTTTAAAAATCAGACAATGTGATTTTCTGGATTTCCCCCCCCCCATTTTTTCTCACATAGGATTGGTGTACATTATGAAAATAACAGGCCTCTCTCATCTTTTTAAGTGGGAGAACTTGCACAATTGGTGGCTGACTAAATACTTTTTTGCCCCACTGTATATAGACAACAGGATCCAAGCCAGCCCCCACATTCTATTCTACTATCTCTGTATCCAGCCTGTATAGTTTATGGTGCAGTGTGTTGTGTGAATCAAATGAATGAGCTGAGTAGATTATTGTTGAATTAATCATGGGGGGAAAATGTTATGCAAAGAAAGCCAGAGGGTATGGGCATAAATCGCAATGAAATTGGAGGCAGATGCTTGGGTGCTGTAGCTAGAAATATAGTGGAGGGTTCTCCACCCCAAAGGATACATCTCTCAAAACATCTGAATATCTGTACAAAGTCCGTAATGTTTAAGAACTGGAGATACAAATGCCCAGAGGAAAAAGAAGAAAGAAAAAAACTGCGGAGGAGAACATACCTTCATATTTCTAGTACAAAGAAGAGTACACGTGTGAAAATAAATAAGCAATTCTGCACAGAAACACACAGGTTAAACCCAACATTTAAAAAAGAAAAAAGGAGGGATCGATTTCTTTTAAAGACCAAAAAGGACAAACATTTGTAGCGTCCACGGGTGCCTGAGGGACACCTCCTTTTAAACATAGCTTGGCCACAGACTGGCCGCTTCTCTCGCGAAGTGTATCCCTGATAAAATCCACCTGAGACTTTCCGGAGCCCCGGGGGCTCTCTCTTAGAAGAGGCGAAGCGGCGACGGCTCGGCTTGCCCGCTCCAGACGCACAGCCTCTCCTACCTGTGCGCACACGTTCCGCGCCGCGCCAAGGTCTCTGGTGACGCGACACGCCCCCGACCGCCCACCCCGTCCCCTCCCCCCTCCGGTTAACCCCTGAATCCTTCAGCCCCCGGTGCAAGAGGCAGCAGGCGATGGGCAGGCCCTGCCCAGCTCGCCCAGTCGTCCCCGCTTTCGCTTTTCCAATCAGGAGGGAAGAACAGGAGGCTGGGCGGGATTTCCTGCTGAGCGGTCCCAGGCGAGGGAGGCAGTCGGAGGGGAGCGGGGAGGGGGGGGGAAGGCGGCAGAGGCGGAGGCGAACTCTTCGGCAGAGTTCCCAGGCGCCTTCCAAGCTGACCGGACGAGTCACCTTGCGCGGGGGGCGACGCTGCCCTGAGGAAGCAGGAGAATGCGAAAGCGAGCAAGGGTGGCGCGGGGGGCGCTGCGCCAGGCTCTCCTCCGCTTAAGTTCTCAGGTTCCGTAGACTTTGCGCGCGGACCCTCGGCCCTCGCTGCTCCTTCCTTCCTTCCTCCTTCCCTCCCGCCTTCGCTCGCTCTCGGGTATAACTAGTCGTCTTCGGCGCTCGGCGGGACTGGGACGAGAGCAGGAGCCCTTGCGTGCGCCTCAGCGGGTGTCGTGGAAGGAGAGGGCAGCCCTTTCTCCTCGCGCGGGGAGGTAGCGGCGGGAGAAGGGAAAGCCGCCAGCCGGTGACAGGAACGCTCGCCTTCGCCGCAACTTTGCGCTGGGAACGCGGCGAGCCCCCGATCAGGTGAGTGGTGGGAAAGAGAAGAAAAATACTCGGGTTGGGGGCTGTAGGAGAGGAAAGGGAAGAATCAGCTCGAAGTCCTCAATGTTGCCGACCAAGATTTGTATCTCTCCCATCCCCACCCTCGGCGCCCCTTTATTTGCCTTATTTGGTCACTTCTGCGTAGCCGACTCTGGATTTAAAACTCTCGGATTTTGCTTTTTCCGAAAGCAAACTCCCTCCTTCGGTTCTGGGTGTTCAAGGTGTTTGGTCTGATGGCTGCTTGTTTGAATTTTTTAAAGACGAACTTTCAAAGAATTATATCCATCAGGCTGTATACCAACACGCTCTGATACGCTCTACAAAATCGCGCTGGTATATGAAGCTTCTTTTCCGAATAATTCCCTGGTTTGATTTCCCCCCCCTACTGCTCTGCTTCATCTCCTCTTGCATCCCCTTTCCCCAGATACTGTACCTCATCCACTTTTTTTGCAGCCTCCTTTGACCCACCTAGGTGTGCTGAACTACCACTCCCATTATCCCCAGTCCATAATTGGTCAAGTTGGCTGGGATTGATCAAGTTGCATTGCAGCACCCCCGGAGGGTCTAGATTGGTGAAACTGCTTTCAAGAAAGGAATAAATAATGTCTATCTTCAAAGCCTCATCTCTTTTTCTCAGAACTCTGAAGTTGTAGCATGCCTGAAAAGTGATACCACTGTTGTGATACAAAAGTTCCCCGAGTCCTACCGCGTAATCTTTGCTCTAGGCTTTGTTTTCCTGTGGAGGGAATGTTTGCCTCTTATCTTCCCCCTCCAGGGTTGGTATTTTTAATCATTGTTGTTCAGGATCTTTAGCCTACCGCTTACATAACTGAATCCCTAACCAGCTTTTACACTACATTTGAGGAAGGAATTTCAGATACTCAAGTTCAGCAGGTAGAGTCCTGAAGTGACATATTAGATTTCTCAAGCAAGAGGGATGTTTACCATCACTTTATACTCCAGAACACATTGATGGGGTGGAAGTTAACCTGTCTGTTGGCTACAATGACATGCCCAAGCCTGAAAAAGGTGCAAAAGTGTGTGCAGAGTTTAACCCTTTCTTTCTCCCAGAGAGAACACTGCCCTCTAAACCAGCACCATTCTGCTTCATTCATTGGTCTTTGTGGACAATGGAAAGTTCATATGATTGATTTAGTAAAAGGGCTCTCAGGCTGAGTAGCATCTTTTGTGCAGAAACAAACAATTTCAAGAAATGATTATTTTATTGTATTTTGATTATAAGAGGCCAGGGATAAGAACAGGAGGTACAAAGACTATTTCAGATATAACATCTACAGAAAATTTAATCATCAGTTGAAGAGAAAGTGCTCAGTCAAAAAAGCACTGTGCCAAATGGAACATCCCTTTGGGGGCCACTAGCAACTCTTGCCTGACTTTTAAAATGAAATGTGCCAGAGCTCATCAGTTGCAGCCCATGAGCCTGGAAATGGGTAGAACATGGCTGACCTGACTTGCTTAGCGGAGGGATTTATTCTGTTCATGCATCCTGAAGCCTTTTGCTATTAAGTTACGTATAGGAGGACTGATTACCAAAACAGATTCTGGTTTTGAGTAGTAACTCTAATTACTTCATTCTAAGAAGGTGCACAACCATTTTTTGGAGTCCATTTTGTTTATTATTTACAATAAATATATTTAACATCAGTGCTTTATTTGAAGTGCAGTTATGACTTATGACTATAGAACTTGAGTAAATGTGATCCTGTTCACAGAGTCTGAATTAATCCTATGGAGATAGCATTTTCAGATCACAACTCATAGTTCTGCTGAGATGGACTCCATAAGGTTGACTTTGAATCTTGCATGGGCAAATGCTTGCCATCTTGAACTGTCACTAGTTATAAGTTATAGTTCATCCAAGGATAAACTATAACTTGTTCCTATAATCACGTTGTTCCAGTAGATCCACCTTATCCATTATCTTCCTCTTCCCCTACTTCCCTCAACCTTGCCAAGCATGACAATGTTTTTCAATCCCCCTTCCGTTCACAGGACATTCTCAAAGTATCTGAGCTTCCTCATAGATCTAATTATGGTAACTCAAAATGGGCTGGGGAAGGGACAAAGCTCAGAATATGGTTTTTTTTTTTTAAACAAGCAAAGACATTCCTTGGCAACAAGAAGTTATTACTAGAGTTCCAGATTACTAAACCAGAATATTTGTGGGTTAATAATAAAAGGACAAGACTGATCTATTACCATGCTTGGCAGGGTCATTCTAAGCACATTCTTTGAACGGAGCTGTAATATTTCTTGTATATTATGGCTTTTCAATGTTCTAAGTCCATTTTTTTAAACAAATGAATAAGATGTTATGTTGCTGTAAAATGTTTGTCTATCTGTATGGCAACACAGTAACCCTAGACTGAATCCAATCGGGGGGGGGGGGTATGTGTGTTAATATTATATTTTTAAATAAAATTCCGAGAGGCCTTATCCACTTACTATTGATGGTCTGCAGTTGCAGCTGCTGCAGGAGATAAATATAAATGTGGGTGCTTTAAAGCCAGTAGCAAGCTATTCCCAAACAATGTTTTGTCAGGCCAACCAAATTGACTTAGATTCAAGGTTCTCCATTACTGATGCTTCAAGCTAGTCAGCCCAGTTCCCTTGTCCTCAGTTCATCTAAAACCTGTACTCTATGGAAATTCTCAGCTGCTTAAGTTTCATAGTTTTCAAGATCATCTTGATCCTGCTTACACTTATAGCCAGCAGCCAATCCATAGACCACTTGCTAGTTGCTTGTTAATGCTGACATGAAGGGTCCATAGTTCTCTTGGCCATAGGAGGCTGCATTTTACTGAACCTGCTAAATGTAATACTGGGTGGAAACTCTGCAGAGTTTCCAGCACATGATCTGCTACTTGTTATTTTCAGTTGGCGTTACCAGTGATTGAACTTGGTCACTTTTGCCTACATAGCACTCTGGATCCATCCCAAACCATTATAGTCACAGAGAGCTCTGCAGGTTAGATATCCAGTCTCTGAGAGTTCCAGTCCTGACCCTGGATCTTTTTATAATTGCACCCATTTCAACCCCCCTTCTCCATACATAGAGCATTGTACAGGTTCTCCTCACATAATTATGCAGTTGATCATTTTTGTCCAAGAATTTGCTTTATGAAAAAAAATTGCTATTATGCAACTTGTGCCAACATTGTCAATTTGCACCAAAGGCCTGGAAACATGCCAAGACTTCTTCTGTCAAAACCCCTTGAACATTTTCCCACCAAAACCCATTTCTGCCCCTTACATTTACCATTGTGTTTATTTTATTTACTTATTTATTTATTCATTAGATTTATAAGGCTGCCCATCTCAAACAATATGTTGTGTTGGCTGGTGTGGGTCTTCTGGGCTGTGTGGCCGTGTTTGTAAGTTTTGTTTCCTAACGTTTCATCAGCACCTGTGAACGGCATCTTCAGAGTGCAGGAGCACAGACAGGAGCAGTTCTCTCTGTGCCCAGGGTGATGTATGTTGTGTGGTTCTAGTCGTGCATCCTGCTTCCTACTTACCTCCATATCTCCAATAACTATTACTGTTACTATGGGTCAGAATGGCCCTCAATGTCTTGTCTAACCCCCTTACCCAAAAGGAAAAGGAAAAGGAACTCCCTAACACTAGAAACAAAGTTGGACATATTATGTCATGCCATAGCTGGTGAAGAATCCTCAGGACTAGAGGAGCTTTTAACCTGGGTTAATCTACTGTGTGCAACAGAATGAAGAATGTTAATAAAATTCATAGTCTTGCGAAGCATCCTACCTCTGTCTGCTATGATAACCATGCACATTAGAAATCCAGCTTTCACTGTACATAGAACATGAGACAAGGAAGAAAACACATTTGAATAATGTAGTGCTTAAGAATAAGGCTCTAAAAATGTGTGAGCACATGTCAATGCATTTGTGTTACAAAATTTGATACCATGCCCTACAACCCCCTTTTTTCCATTGGTTTTGTGTCTCACTTTATGTTAACTTGCTTTATGTGAAATTTTCAGGGAACCTATACTTGCTTTGAAAGATAGCAATGCAGATGATAAAGTAGCTACCAATATACAACTAGATCTTGTTTCACCTGGATGAGCAATTAATTCATCATCTTGACCATAGCTGAGTGGTTGCTGTGGAGATGGGCAATACTAACACCAGATAAAGAACACAGCTCATATACCAAAGCATCAGGTGTTTTTTGTCTTCAGGGTCAATAAATGATGCATGTGGTCTTTGGAGTATTTAAGATTTCAGGAAGGAGCACAAAATATCCAGTGTGTAAGCCAGCAACAGATTCTTATGAAATATGGTCATATTTTTCTCACACTAGAGGGGCTTGCTCTTGTCTCTTCAGATTGATTAAATCTGGGGCTGTTTTTTATGAATAAGCTAGTTAATTCCAGGCAGAAATTTCTAATCTGTATACTGTTAGTCTAATTTCCAATGCTAAAGATAATGTGACTTCACCCTACTGTATGTGGAGTTTTTGTGGCAGGGAAAGTCTGTTGCAACTGAAGATGTTTCATTTGTGTTTCTTGGCTGTTTACTGGATCTTTAATGAATCTTGGGCATAAGTCTGTAATTTCTGTTTTCTATTTTTGTAGCTAAATGTACATTCTCTCTTAACCAGTGTTTCTCAACCTTGGCAACTTTAAAACATGTGGACTTT